CGCTTGCTTATTCTTACTACAACGTGTTTACTTGTCTCTGCTCGTGCCCCAGTGGCCTGATGCTGTTGTGTCTCTACGGCCCAAACTGTAGCTTGAGAGGGGCTGATAAGAAAATTAAGTCTGGGCCTTTTCCTGCTCTGCTTGGCTATATTCAGAGCTATTGTTTTTGCATTTTCTCTCTTTGTCTCCCCAAATGGGTTTGAATATTTCAGATTGTGAGCGCTAAGACTTGTGGGAGCCAGTGCAACTGTGAGATCCACCTCAGCCATGTCATAATTCAGGTGTAAAACAACACTGTGCAGAAAAATGAGAGGAGTGCAGAGAATCAAAAACACCTTCTGCACATTTCCCATGGATCTACCTGCATGACTTCATTTGACATGCACCTCTGTATGTGTGTGTGTGTGTGTGTGTGTGATAGAGGAAAAGAGGGAGGGATTGCTAAGTTGGCGGTTTGAATGATGTTTAACTGGAGCTCAGCACAGCTGAATGAGGCCAAATCCGCTTTCTCCTGGGTGCAGTTACTCAGAGCGTTGTGCTAGAAAGCGATCACAGAGAGAAGGATGTCACCACATTACAGTCACACACATACACACATGCACACAAAGTATTTTTTCCTCCTGCAAGGCACAAAATATAACCCATACCATCGACAGCAGCCCACTCAGAGGACTTAGGATATATACAGAGCACTGAGCTCCATCCCACATTAACCAAACACAGAGAGCTCCCCTCTTGAGGCGTCTCACACACATACACACACACTGGCCTCACTGGCACATAATCTTCCTCTGCCACATCCCTTCTCCTCACAGCTTACACCGCTTATGATCAAACCATGGAGACAGAGTCAAAAGGAAAACAGCGATAAAGAAAAACACAGTCACTGAGGAGCAATTTTATGCCATGAAGGAAATCAGCATTGTGCAGAAATGAAATAAAAGATGCAAAAAGGTCTCATAAGGTAAATCTTTCATTGAAGTGGATCTTATATATATGTACTTATATGTCGGCTTACATTTTCTTACACGTATTTCAGCGATTTAAAGCCTTTTAAGAGAAAAGAAAAATAAAACCGCGTTTTTTCTTTTTACCTTTTTTGCGTTTCTGCCAACATCCCACACCAACTTCATCAAAGAGGAAATGTGGCGGGCGTTCTTACAAAGCCGCTTCGTAAACACTCGCTACTCGTGGAGCTAATTTGATTCAGATGAGACTTTTTTTTGAAGGGTAGAGCCGTCAGTTATTTGGAAACAGATGGGTCTCAAAGTGCAATTGAATTTGATTATCGCCTCAATGGGATACATAATGAAAGAGCCCATATTTGAAGAGAAAGTTACGAGGAGGCCATTTCAATTACTCCACAAACTAAACTGGGGACGGCAGCGTCACGCGTCAGACTCAGGCGTTCAGATGATTTTCTCTTTTCTTCTTCTCTGCTCTTTCTTCTCCTTTTAATGACAGCAGCGGTGGGGTGTGAATCGTGATGAGCGCAGCTGTTTATTGTCGTGTCTCTGCCGCCTTTCTTTAAAGCCCGCCGTTTTTGTCACTGCTAATTGATTCAAACGAAAACACAACTTTTTGTGTTGCATCCTATTATCCGCACGCCTGTTTGAGTAATAACACACCCGGCACCTCGGCTCGGTCGGAATCGTTTGACAGGTTTGGGAGTTAAGAATTGTCAGCATCCGGCAGATTATTACAGAAGGTGTTTTGCCCGAGAAGCGCTCAAATCCTGACAGCCTGTCAGGCGCGATCGCTCCACTTACAGCTTTCCTTTACTCCAACTTGTGACTGACAGATACATTTTTAGCCGTCCTTTCTCTCAGGTTTCAGAGTTCACTTTAAGAACTCATTTCACCCCCCCTTCTGAGAAACGTCGTGGCCTGAAACGAGATTCATGATGAAAGCAAACACTATTATCACAGCTTCATCCTGAAAAACTGTAATGTTCTGTGACTGTAACATTATCTGGATTGTAAATTACTTCACTGCAAGTCACAGTTTTCACAGAAGAAATTCCTGCACCCCACCGAAATCACATTTTTAGTATATAAGGCAGTTTTAAAAAACAATAATTAATTTCCTAGAAGATAATGTAAATGCTTTAGAGTCGGTAAATACAGTGTTTTTGTGAATTATTTTTTATCATACCTTACAAATAACTATTAGAGAATATAAGTAAAGATTGAATACTGCATTTGACTCAAAATATGTTAGATTTGTTTCAATAAAAGTATATATCTGGAGGAAAAATACATTTTAAATACCCCCCTTTGAATAATCTTAATTTTATGTTATTTTTGTTTTCATTATTTCAGCACTTTTAAGTCATGAAAAGACATTTAAGTAATAATTGATGCAACAGAGGGTTAATCTACAACTGATAGAACAAAAGAAACTCTCTTCTTGAGGAACTATTGTCTCTGATGTCGAGCACTTGAGCCGCAACACCTTCTTTAAACTCTGCTGCACACGCTCCAGACAGATGGTAAGGACCTGGTGCAGGAGGCCTCCCGCCATGCCTGATAACAAGGTTCCTGGGCTATATAGGGCAACGGTGAGTGTAAACACACCAGCCTCAAGTGGAGCGAACAGGTGGCCCACCACACAGGACCACTAGTCATGTTGCGTGTCCACAACAAAAGCTCTTTTACGGGGGGAGAAGTCTTTTCGTGCTTCCATGTGCCATAATGGCCCTGGATCTGTCGACAGGAGGAAATATCAGAGCTGAGATGCTTCTGGTGAAATCAGACCCATTACTTGGTGCCCAGACGCTGCTACTGCAAAAGCAAAAGCTAAAGCCAAAGCCAGACCATCAGAAAAAAAAAAAAAAATCAAGTTCATTTCCTCTGTGCCACCTCACAATGCAAAGAAAGCCAGCCTAGTTTCTGAATCGAGTTTTTCTCATTCCAATCACTTCCTGCAAGGATTTGATTTCAGAGGCCGTATCCTCTGGTGGAGGAGAGACGATAATGTCACGGAGGAAGGAAAGTGATGGTCCGCCTGGTGTTTATGCAAGACTTCGGCATTTGTTGTTGTTGGGTCGGCCGTCATTGGCAAGCAAGTTGCCACAGAGACCCTTTCCATCCTCCACACACACACACACACACACTCTGACCCATATAGGTGCTTTGAACCGCTGGCAGGCCAAACAAGATTATCTGGGCCCCCTTCCCAGGAAGACCACTGGGATATGGATGTTTGGTGGTAGTGGTGGTGGTGGCGGCGTCGTGTCTGCCTGTATGAGACATGTCTAAAAAAGTAAGCGTGCCGTCAGTCTCTGCATGTGCATGTATATTTGCGATGCTCCTGCAGCGTGTAACACACTTTCGAAGCAGCACAATTTAGTCTCCAGGTGGTTCTCTTCTTCAGACTGTCACAGAAGAAGGAGAGAGGAGGAGAAAACTTCTTTTTTTTTAATTCTAATGAAGGATTTCTGACTTTTGAAACCTGGTAAGTGAGAAAGTCACAAGATTTCTTTCACGGGTCAAACCAGGCCTCTCCTCGAGAGCTCAAAGAAATACTCAGCGATTAAGTTCGAAAAGCAAACAAACTTTGCTCCCTTACCGTGATGACAACTGTGCTGCCCGTTTGTTCCCTCCTCCATCTTGATTACATAATCCCCAGATTAATTAGCTGTGTGTTTCAGCCACTTCCTGTCGCGCGACCCTCAAATGGGTTCCCTCTGCAATCTGGCCTATCGACTTTCAGGGCGCCAGGGCTTTTTCTTTGAAGGCCGCCCGGCTTCAGAGGCAGGAGAACTCTCTGATCTGACGGCTAAAGGAAAGGGCCCCTGTAGTGTGCCGTTACAGACTGATAAAAAAAACTAGAAAAACAACATTTGGGTAACACACACACTCACAGGGGGGGAAAGAAAATTAAGAATAATCTGGTTGTGAAAACAAGAGGTGGTATGGAACAATGACAATCTGGCTCCTTTGGTAATTTCCTGTCGGCGTTCATTCGTGTGATGTGGTCGTGCCCGTTCTGTTGGGATCAATCAAACCCGCGAGCAGATGGCATTGCGCTCCTCCAGCGGACTGGGGGATAGTCTGTGTTTTTGCAGAGACAGTAATTGGCTCGCTGCGCCGTGGACCGGAGCGCGCTAACAGCCGCCGCCATCTCCACTGTGCGGTGACAACACGTGTCGTTATGCTTTGAATGGCTCGTAATGGGGTACCTGAGCAGTAGGCTCCATTTGGTACCAACTCAAACTTGTGTTAAACACTGCTATGATTAATATGCGACCATGACAGTCTTCAAACACACTTCGAGGAAGCAAAGAAATGCAATATTGACTTTGCTGATCCCAAGTTATGACAGTAACAGTTTACATCAGACCCCCCCCCATGGACAAAAACTGGACTTGTTGTCTTGTCACAGGTGCCAACCAGGGAAAACATGGGCTGTACTCGCTAACAGGGTTTGCATTAAGGTGATGAAAGCTTATGTGGATAAATGGAACCATTTGTGGGAAACTCAGCAAGCTGTATAAAGGCGAAGCACAGTAATTGCATGTGTACTGTATGAGCCTGTGTGTGTGTGTGTGTGTGTGTGTGGCTAAGACGCCGGGCACTTCAAAGCTTTGATGTAGGAGCTCCTAAATGAGGGCCACCAGAGGTCTGGACTAATGGGACATCATGGGGAGATTAGAGGCCATGTGTAGCCGGCTGACAACACAGCATTATGTATATGTGTGTGTGTGTGTGTGAGGGAGAGAGACAGACAGAGAGAGGGAGCATGAGTTTTTGTGTGTGTGAGATTTCCTATGTGTATTCTTTAAGCAATTAAAAGTGAAAGTTTGGCTCCAAGTCTCATGGAGTTTGCAGAGAATTGGACAGGAAGTTTTAAGTGTGTGTCCACAAGTAACACAGGAAAGTGAGCGATGCGGAGAAATTACTACATCAGTCAAAAGTTGGTTTTATACACACATACTAATGCAGCACAGTAAGCTTCTGCTAACTTAGAGACAGACAGACAGAAGAAAACATAAACAGTATGGTATAAATCCTTTATTAAATAATCAACAATAATTATAATAACAATCATAAAAAGAGCTTTTCTGTACAAAGACCTCTTTTTAAAACAACAACAACAGCAGTCCGAGCAGTGCGAAAGGGGGTGGCGTCCTGTCCTTTTACACTTTGTTTGGTCCTCCCAGGCTGAGGGGGGGGCACTGCGACTGTCACTGTCAAATTCCTGTGTCCGATACTGGCTCCGACAAGGCAAGCTGGACCCCCCCGAGGCTCCAAGGCACTTTTAAGAGAGTCAGTGGGGTCCAGAGATGCGGGCCTCAGAGGAGAGGGACGGCTTTGTGTGTGTGTGTGTGTGTGTGTGTGTGTGTGTGTGTGAGAGGGTAAATGGGATGACATGTTAAAACCAATGTTCTTCATGGTGTCAAATATAAACCTCTCAGCAGCAGCCATCATTCCCTTCATTTGTAGCGTCTCTCAGAGTGTGTATGTGTCCAGAGTTTCTGAGAGAGAGGGTGTGTGTGTATTTCTGTATATACATCTGTACATACAAGTTGAGTAATGTGTGTGTGTGTGTGCGTGTGCATGAGAGGGTCTCTCGCCCTCTCCTTCTCATGGCTTACGAGTCCATTCACACCAAGTGCTAGACCAGACGCTTTCCCATTTGCTCAGAAACCCAAACTCAAAAAAATGTCTGTGGGGGTGTGTGTGTGATGTGTGTGAATGTGTCAGGGGTGAGAGGGGGGCGGGGGGTAGGTCCTTTAAATCATGGCTTTCGAGGTCCCAAAAGAAAAACGACAGATAGATCCTCCTCATGTCTCGGTGTTGCCTCAGAGATCCTTTCTTTCCACAAACAGTTTGCTTTTTAAGGATTGTCGTGTGTCCGGGCCACACTCACTCACTCAATCCCTCATGCGCTCACTCCCTCGGTCAGTCAGTGGATAGACAAAGCCGTTTTCTGGCTGTGCATTTGTTTTCAATCCCATATTTTGGTCCTTGCCAAAGCGCAGAGAGAACATTACCCCTGTGAGATAGCGAGGAGGAGGAGAGGGGCAGGGGATTTTTTATAGTGCGCTGTCAATCATCGTCTTTCTCAATCCCTCTTTTTTTATATAGCAGCAATCCATAGGTTGCACCGACCAAAGCTCCTTGACCTTTTCACGATTAACCACAATGTAAACATGACCTTCTCTTTGACAGGAACCAGCAACAACTAAATCTAACAATAACGTCACTCTGCCTTTGAAAGAATGCGTTAAAATCCCAGCCCGCACCTCTATGCACACATACGTTTTCTTCGTTTTTTTTTTTTTCTACTTATCTTCCATGGCGGACTGGCAATCAGCCAGAAGGAAAACATTAAAACAGAAAGAGAGAGACGTCTGGAACTAAGAGGATAACTGAGGCTGATAGGTAGCAGAGTCTATGACGGAACGAAAAAAAAGAAAGAAGAAAAAGTCAACGTGCCACACAAAGGAGCTAAGTTCTAGGCCACTGTGTTCACATGTGAGCAAAACAGACGCTTTCTAAGCACGTTCCTAACCTACCACCTTTCCAACACGACGTGTTCGGACACAGTATGTGTAGCTTACAGTGTCCAGTCTCAAAACTAGACCTCTTACAAATCTATGATGCATTTATAAACAGTTCTCTTTTGGTGGAGCAGGAAACTGTAGTTGATATGTGTAGATATTTGTTTTTTGAGGCTTAACACCCCTGCAATGGAACAGGGTAACCCCAGTCTTTTGTTGGCTCTCTCGCTGCAAAAAACTACACCGAATGGAGTCACGTTTTCCGATAAAGTGGCCGTCTCGTTGTCTGTGTGTCCGGGGGGGAACTGCACCATCAAGGAAGTAAACTGAGGCTAAAGTGAAACTGGAGGAAATGAAGAAAAACAGCGAGAGGTTTCCACAAATAGCAGCGGCTCCCTCTAGTTCCGTCTCTCCTCGGGTCTCCTCCCCTCACGCCTCGGTGCAGCAGCGCTGTTGGTTCAGTTTGACCTTGTGCTTGAGGCCGTCGTACAGTTCGAAGTTGTAGTTCTCCAGGGTGGTGGAGGAGCGCGACGACAGGCCGCTGTAGGAGCAGGTGCAGTACAGCAGGAGGCCGGCACACACCGCCCCGAGCAGGACGCCCAGGGAGCTCATGACGATGATGGTGACCAGGATGGGGTCCAGGGTGTAGAGCCACGAGTTGTCCTTCTCTGAGACACGGGTGACGGGAGGCTCGGATGACGGGGATGCTGTGTTCCACTCGGTGAACTGCAAACCTATGACAGGAAGGGGAAGACAAGGAAACCATTAATTTAATTTGATGAGTTTGAATTTGTCAAGATTTTTTGGCAATAAATTAAACTTGCAAATACAATAAAAAATAAACGTAAACAGAGAAATGGGAGAAACTGATATCCAAAAAGAGGTCATGACTTTGACTATATACAAAGATGGACAATGCGTCTTCACTTACTCCTTCCATCCTAAATATATATATATATGAACTATATGAACTATGTCATGTCGTCCAGCTTTATTTACAGTTGATTAAAAACAGACAAAAAGGTGCTTACCTCCCCCTAGAGGGTCTCTGGCGCTGGAAAGTCGCCCGTCCCCAAATTCATTGGGTTTCCGTACTGTCAGGGAGAAGCACAGGTGACACGGATTGTAAGCATCAAGCAAAATCCTAAATGTATGTACTTGTTACAAGAAAAGATAGTAGAAATTCATATCCTTTTCAAAATAATAACCTTTTTTATATCGTCTTAATTTTTACCTACATATACATACACACACAAGTCTGTGAATAATAGAAAAATATGACTTTATTAATAGAGAAAAAGATCATTATGATACATTCCTGTTTAACACAGTCATCACATAACATACTGATGGTATAAGACTGTTCATTCCACGTGAATAAGGATGCAAACATCGTCAAATAATCAACATCGTTATCACCGTTAAAATCATCGACACTGTCACGGTCAAGTTTAAGAGTGGTGGATAAGATGATCAAGGAAAAAACGAAAAAAACTAATAACGACATTTAAGTAGCGCTCGTCGCAACAGTCTCACTTTCCGTTGGGTGAAATTCATGAAATGGCCAAAGCGGCGTGGATTGAAAATTTAAATGTGTGCAAGAGTGGAAAAAAAACTGCAAGTAGCGATGACTGCAGCACTTTAGTTGAGTGTACTTATACTTTAGATGAGTTTTATTCTCACTTTTCCTGTGTGTGTATTTGTGTGTGTGTGTGCCCCTGGCGAGCTTTCAGGAGTGGGAGTAACTGCTTGGCAAGGCACACGTCTGGATTTGGAGGTCTTTGATGGCCAATGGCGTTGTTAGTACTGTTTCCAAGGCAACTGCAAGTTGGCAGCGGATTGGCCGGCGGAGGTGTGGTAGATGGGAGATAAAAGTGCTTACTGCAGCCTTCATAAATGTTATCCGTCCATTAACTAATTACAACTATTAGCGGCTTGGAGCGCCAACGGTGTTGAGATGGACGAAATAGGGTGTCTAAACCCCCCCACCCTCCCCGAGTTGATTTAAAAGCACGCAGCGAGAGCGTGCCAAAAAAAACCCTTCCTTCGTTTTTTACTCTAGAGAGAAAAGTGCAGCTTCTAAATTGAGTCGCATTCTGCTGAGCCGTGGACTCGGAGGTGATGGATTTCTGCTGGTGTGACAGATCAGGAGAGCACGCCCCGTTAAGCCGCAGAGTAAAGAGCTCAATTTCAAAATCTCACCCCCTCCTCAACAATCTCTCGTTTTCTTTTAGATCCCAGATATGTTTTTTAAAGAGTTCATTAGCTATGTCTTATTCTATGTTTTTCTTTATGGCACTAAAGGAGGAAGCGTCAATAGCTGCAGCTCTGGTTTCCATCACGTCTTGGATCCCTCTCAAGGGTGCACGTATAGGGCAAAAAACACTGCGCTTATGGCTTCCAGCTGGTGCAGCAGCATTGTGGGATTTGTAGGAGTATAAATCAAGGAAGAAATGGTGATGGCAGACAGCTGTCTCTATTTACAACCCCCCCAACCAAAAAAAACAACAAGCACATATTCACACTGAAAACACAACATGGCTCAGCTCGGCTTTCATCTGGGCAGCTTACATGGGGAACAATGGGAGTGGGTGGTATGGAGCAGAAATGGGGAGTGGAACAACGTGCTTTTATTACGCCAGAGAATCAAGATGAAACGCTAAACACTGAAGACGGCTGCATCCATCACTGACTGATGCCTTTATCAGGAGGAGACGAGACGCTCAATCAAACGAGCTGGTTATCTCCATTTGTGATGCAGGACTTTAAGTATGATGGATTTGCATTCCTTTGTTTTTAAATGTGCACATGCTGTTGAAAAGGACAATGGAAGGATTTTTTGTTCGGTTACAACAGCCTCACAACTGGTACAACTCGTATCACAGCCATCTCGTGTTGTTATTACAGAGATACCAGGAGCTTTATTTTCTGGAGCTTGCCAGATCATCTCCACCGCGAGCACAATGAACGCCTCTTAACAGTTTTCTCCCTGTCTCCTCTCACAGCACTGCAGAGCTCCCTCGCGTCTCTGGGGTCTTGTTTCAGCCCGAGGTTTGGCAGCTCCGGCTGGCTCTCACAGCGGAATCGGCTCGACCCCCCTCCCCTCTTCCCAGTCCACACATGTCTGTGTGTGTGTACATCCACACTGGGGTCATTCCAGGAGGACCACTGGGGCTATGAGGAGCCAGACGGCACTCAATGGTCCGAAACAAGCTGTTCAGATAAATAACTTACTTCAGTCCTCTCATCGGGAGCAGCATAGTGTGAAAAGTCAACAGCAAACTCCTTCATGGAGCAAAAGAGGAAAACAGCAACTAAAGCTACGTCCATTAGAGACGGAGAGAGAGAGAGAGAGAGAAAGAGGGAGAGAGAGAGGGAGAGCACAGTGTTTCTTTGCAAAATGTTTCACTTGGCAGTTTAGGACGACGTCTGTGTCGTCGTCACCCTGGCAACTGTAAACTACAGGAGAGACGGGTCCGTCAGGTCAATCTTGCGGCATCACAACACACACTGCCACTGACATCACAAGTTGCCGTCCTCCGCTGCCGAACGCGACCGCAGCCATAAGTGCGTCTCTTCAGCAGAGGGTGCGGTGTCGGTCCCGGCTGTCCAGTCTCACTGTCAGGACTGGCTCCACCCCTGGGGTGGCCATACTGGACGACCAGTTAGAATACTGGAAACACTGCGAGGAGCTGTGATAGGCCACTGACAGCTGGCTCTTCTTGGTGGCCAGGTGTTGTCGGCAGCAACAGAGGGCTCTGACCAAGATGGCCACGGCCAGGAGAAGGAGGGCGCCCCCGGCGGCCATAATGTAATACCAGTGGATGGGCAAGGGAGGCACAGGAACGCCTCCCCCTGGTGGAGAGATACAGAATAATTGGCCAGCGGGAAAAGAGAGGAGTGGCACTTTGTTTATGTTCTACATTTAATTCTCTCATTTCTATCCCTATGTCTTCATCATACGAACAGCAGGCGTGCACCTCATATGAGCATGCTCAAGCATGCCAGTTGCAAAAATGAAATAAATCTCCAAGGCCAAATGAAAATCTAAAATGCATCCATTCCTCTCATGTAGCTTGTTTTGCAGTTGGAGGACAAGTTTTCACACCAAGATCATCAAGAGATTTGGTTTGAAATCAGTCCAATGGTTGATCCGATCAAATGCAATGCAATGCAATTCATGTTTATTTTCACAGCTCCAATGAAATGATTTGGTGTGAAACGAAAGCCAAAATAATTAGTTATAAAAGCACCCACACACATTGAATTAGGGAGCTTCCTCTTCCTGTTCCGAACTGGCACAGGAAGTCACAAACAGCCCCCTTGATAAAGCCTCAGAACCATGCAAGAATCAGTCAGACACCACATGGGAATCCAATGTTCCAGAGCTCTCTCGGAGCCGATATTGGATTTGGATTTTTTTATTTAGCTGGCTTGAGTTGCCAGATTTGTTTTGAGTACATAATTTATCCTGTTCCCGGGTTTTTTAAATTTTTGTTTTCCTTTTCTCTCATGCGTCAGCCTCCCGGCCAGTCCTCTCTTCCTCAAGCCAAGCGCTGTCTCCTTGGATCTGCACAGATCCTGTACGCTGCTGCCCCTGGCTTGAACCCCCTTCTCAAATTCTTGGTAAAAACCGACTAACCATCTTCCAAGAAACCCCTACTCAATTATCCAAGTCTGCTATGCAAAAAACGAACCCCTGAAGACAGTGAAAAACTCAAAGAAAAAAAAAAAGAAATGGAGCCCACATGTACCATCCGAACTTTTGAGAATGAGAGTGTCACGTTGAACTAGGGAAAGTGAGGTAGAGCTGAGTACATCCTGATTTTTGGACCGTGTCACATAATTACAGAGGGAAATGGTGCGTGCTCCTGCTACTTCACACTGCACACACTCATTAGATGGAGCCGAGTTGGGGAGAGACACCCGAGCTCGCCGCGGCACATCCCCCTCCGATTGCTCTGCACTGGGGACACTGGTGTGCATGTGTGTGCTGATATTAATGTGTGTGTTTGTGCACGTTTGTACGTGAAGGAGCAGAAAAGCCCACACACACATCACATTCGCACAGCCAAGCTCTTGTCTTATTGCAGGACATTATGAGATGCCAAAACACTAGCATCAATCTCACAGCCTCCCCCAGGATGCTCTAAATATTTTTTCATGAGGCAAACAGTTATTTAAAACCCTTCAGGCTGCGTCAGAGCCTGGAAGTGAGAATATGTAACCCCTTTTCAAATATCTGACTCACACAGTTTGCTCTTTCGAGATGCATCCTTTGTTTCCACTGAGACTGACAAGGTAAAATTAATAAACCACAGCACATTACTGGAATAATCTGGTTTTCAACTCGAAATTTTGTCGTTTGGTGATGCCGACATGCCGCTGATGATGCCATGAATCCCTCATTTTAAAATGAATGCAGTTTACTTAATCAGGAATCACATCGCTCCAGCTCCAGCCTCTTGTTTTGTCACTGTTTTTAAAAAGAATGTTTTGGGGAGCTTAGTGCCTGCGCAAAGCAAAAAACCGCAGGCTAGTGCAAACCAACGAGCAGGAAGCATGACCACAGAATGACTCACAAGTGACGTCATACCGAAATGGAACTCACCTGGATTTTCAGGAGGAAATGCAGCGAAGGGTTCTGTAAGGACAGAGAGGGAAGAGCCGTGCAGACATAGAGAGAGGAGAGGAACGAGAGAAGGGAGAGAGAAAGTCAGCTGTTAGATAACTTTAAACACGAGGGTAAAGTCAGCCAAATGTCACACAAATGTCACTTCACTATCAAAATTCCTCCTAGGGAAATTGAAGTTAATTCCTCGGATAACTCGCATGAATTATGGCATTTAACGCAGCTCCTTGACAAGAACGTGGTTTAAAAGAAGAGTGTGGGCTGGGAATTGGAGATGGACTGTGCGGGAGAGTGCACGGGCTACTAGCGTGGATGTGTGCGTCTTTGTTCGCAAAGGTTTGTGCATTTCAAGTTGTTTATCTGTGGCGTCCAGATAAAGCGGAGTGGGCTGGGGTGATGTGGCTTGCTGCGAATGCACAGAGCAGAACCTTCACTCTGATTGCCTGAAATGCAAACACAAAGAACTGTTGCCTGTGTGTGTGTAGTGTATGTGCGTGCATGTGATTTGTCGGGGGGGTTAGGGTGAGAAACAAAGAAAGACGGAAACCGGCTTGGGAACTTGCGCCTTTTGGCGGGAACGCCAGCGTACTGTGAAGAACCCGACTGCGCCGGGTGATAAGCAACATCCCAGCATGCTCTGGAGTGGCAATGGAGGAAACGCAGCAGCATGGAAGCGGGGTGGGGATGTGGCGTGTGTGTGTGGGGCTGTTGGCTGTTGGATTCTCATGCAGGAATGAATGATAGAACACAAACAGGCAAAAGCAGAAGTGTTTGCCATGAGCCAGGGACGTAACACACACACACACACAC